TTCAAAATATCCTTAGGCCTGTGACGTGTCTGCCTGGTGACTGCTTAGAGGTTCTGTTCATACGGTGTAATTTTTTTTGCTCCCCATTTTTCAAAATTCATTCTCTGACCTCGACTAGTCAAAAATTACTTTTTACTAAAGAAGTTCCAAAGAACGGCTGAAGATTGGAAGGACTTTTTGGGGGGAAAGAAATAGGAAGTAACTTGTAATAGGGAAGAAGGGGTATGTTTTATAAGGATCTTGCTGAATCAGTTACCCCACTATTTAATCCATTCATCTATCCATTATTTATACAGAATTATATTCAATTTTATTAATCGATTCAGTTATAGCCGCCCACACAAACTTCAATTTTTTCGCACTCCAAGGATTCATTTTTTACGATAATTTGCTGATTTATATCCTTTTTTATTTGTTCTATGCCGGTGCTCTTTCAGTCTTCTCATGCTAACTATTCCACATTGAAGCACTCACCAGAAGTCCTGAGGTGATTTTAAGAATGTCAGGGGCAGCAAACATACAGCCAAAATTAGAACCACAAAGCAGTAGCTAAACTCAGTGTTGGAGAAAGTCTGAAAGATTTATTGAGTTTCTGCAAATCCTAAATCATTGGGTACGATGATCGACTTTCGATTCTACCTTGATCATATCATGTATATTCTTTGCCGATAACAATAAATAGACAACCGCAATACCAAACTGCGTAATATCAATGCATATGGAAACGATTTTCCTGAAGAACCATTTTCTGTGCAAAAAAAACCACCTAGACCAGAACTAACCTGACAACGTCGCCCATAGCTCTTTTAGCTATTTCAGGATATGGCTTCCGGCAATGTTCCCGATATTCTGGCCAAGTATTCAAAAGGATATTCCAGCTGAGACCAAGCACATAAGCAGTGTATGTAACAGCGGCAATCATTATTACGGAAATGCCCAAACCAGGATAAAATTCTGAAAAAATTTATTGGTGGCACAAAGCTTTTTGATTTCTCTTTTTTTAAATTTTTTTTTCAATTTGTATTTTTTTGGCCTTGATTCTTGGCCCAGTTTTGTAGTTTCCTTATGTTTCGTTTTACAACTCTTATCAGGTAGTCGATTGCAGCTACTGATAAATGACGCGTTTTTGCGTACGAAACGTAATTTTACGACTTTTCGGCACAACGTAGAACACATAAACGGAATTCAAATAGTGAGATGACTAGCGTTCAAATGAGCATTTAAATAGAGTACAAAAAGTGATAA